GGAATATTTTTTTTTTTTTTTTTTTACAATGACAAACGCATATTTATTTAATTATAATACCTTTGTAAATGGTATATTGCGCACAAATACAAATACAAGCTATAGAATAATCTCAATATACCCATTGAAATTGAGTAGGTAAAACCCACTCGCTCTCTCCATGTCAAAGCGACTCCCGTCCCCGATCAACACCTTTAACCACTACACCAACCTATTTAGAACTATCTACATACATGGGTATATCTCGCTAGTCTATACTATACTACCCAAACTACTTTTTATTTTTACCCTTTTTCTTTTTTTCGGCCCATCCAGGGTTCCCGGCCCAGGGTTCTTTTTCTTTTTTAACTTTAACTTCTCTCAAACCGTCTTCTGATTCTTTGAAATCCACGTCGCTGCGTGTTCCCTGTATACGCTTCTTGACTTCTTTTATATAATCTTCATCCTCCGATGATGATGACGATGTAGGCGGTAAAAATCCACTACCCTTCGATATAGCAAATGGGTTACGATTCGTATACAGTATCGTTCTGAGGATGAGGATTTGAAATTAGTGTAGTATGATTAACAGTTTAATATACATCACTTATTGTTAACAAATATTTTATTTATATAAAGAAAATGCGAAATACAGATAAGAAAAAACAAAAAGAGAATGATATATTTATAAAGAGATATAAAGGGATATAATAAAATGGAAAATAAGAAATGTAGAGAACGAAGAATCAAAAAAATAGAACTATCAAAAGTAAAAAAGCGAAATGTAAAAAGCTAATTAGGGTTATCTGAATTATTATTGGAATCAGTGGCGGCAAGAACGTCTGAAGCGATATCTGCTAATTTTTGTAATTTGTTAACACGAAAAGATGATCTCGGTTTTCTTTTTGTAGGTTATTTGGGTTGTTGCAAGTTTTTATGGATTGTTTTCGCGTTAGTATGTGTGTTTGCTGCTGGTGGAGTAGAGATTGTTTTCACGTTAGTATGTGTATTTGCTACTGGCGGAGTAGAGATTGTTTTCACGTTAGTATGTGTATTTGCTGCTGGCGGAGTAGAAGAGGAAGTGGTATTTGTTGTTGAAGTAGGAGGTAGTTGAGGCTTGATAGGTGATGCATCAGGACTTGAAACAGGTGATTGCTGCTGGCGGAGTAGAAGAGGAAGTGGTATTTGTTGTTGAAGTAGGAGGTAGTTGAGGCTTGATGGGTGATGCATCAGGACTTGAAACAGGTGATTTTAAGGAATTTAGCCATGGCATACGTTTTGTTGGGGATGAAGTGATAGGAGATTGTTGGCCTCGAAGGAAACTAAAGTTGTGTAGCTCTAAATAGAGCTTGCCTTCGATTGATGATAGTGTGCCTGAAAAAAAAACAGATGATCCTCGTTTAACAATGGTGGTTTGATTCATAAACCTGCTACCGGTTGGATGAAATAACGTAATTGGCACTTCAGTAGGTTTATCTTTTGATAAATAATCGGTAATAACACATTCTATTTGAATACCAATATCAGTAATTAGAGCAGGTTCAGATGCCATAGCGACACCAACTACATTAATTTGGTGTACTGGAAGATTTTCGGGCAATATATCCAAAATAGTGGCCGAAGTTAAGATAATCTAAATTGGTTAATAATAATTTTTTTCAATATTCTTTCCCTTTTTTTCTTGAAGTTTAATTAAAATACATGATTAAATTTTATTTATTTACAAAAATTGAATACTTATGTCAAGTTCATTATTTTTAGCACTTTTACTAAATTTAGAATTTGCAATTGATAAAACTTGTCCTTCGCTCAATTTCGGTACATAACATGGCTTAGTTTCGTCTACAGGATAAAATACTGTAATGTTGAAAGTTTGTACAGCCTCTCCTTCCTCCTCGAGCCGAGCGTATCCAAGAGCAGAACCCACGAAAAAGTCACTTGAGGTTCTTTCTTTGTAATCTGATACATATAGTATCGTCGAAAGTTGGGCAGGTATTATTGATATATATATATAAAGACAGGTAAAAGAAAATAGGAAAAGAAAAAAATTTTTTTTTTCATTCAAATTAAAAGGACTAGATAATTTATTTTAGATAAAGATAAAAAATAATCGGTCATTTTTTTTCATTATCTATGTGAATTTTTTTTTTTTTTTTTTTTTTTTTTTTTTTTTTTTTCCCAAAAAGATGAAAATCTGCATGAAGATCGGA